ATTGAAAGCCATAAAATCAACAAGCTAGTCTGAATGGCATGGTTTGATATGCTATCTTTAAGTCTTTACAATTCTATTTAAATTATGTTTTATTTGAAATTATATTGCTAAGACTTGATGATTTAGACTAATGTTACAAATATGAATAATTTTCCAGTGTTTTTATTGGTATTGCGCAAACTTGTTTTTTATTCGTGAAATTTTTTACAATGTCACTTTGACTTCTAAGAACATCATCGTCATGCGGACTCTGCAAGACTATAAGGTTTTTAGGGTTCGAATCTCCAATATAAGAAGTATTCTCGTTCCACGGCCAGTGCTTCCCAGAGTTATCTACTGATGTCTGGTACCATTGTCACGGATACACATTAATTTTTTAGAAAACTGCTTTACAATCCTTTAAGATGACTTCAGGGAAGATGAATGTGTTTGGAAATAACAATATAATGAATATAACAATCTTGATATGATATTGGCCCTGGGGAAGTGATATAGCCCTGGGAAAAGCGATATTGGCCCTGGAGATGTGATACTGACCGCTGGTCAATACTAACTAGTCATGGTATTGATGATCTGTTTAATATAATTAACTATCAGTAGTATTTATATTTGTTAATTTATTTTACAAAAACACAAGATGTTCGTGTCAAGGGTGCAATAGCTTGCTGATAGAGTTATCACCATTTGGTCACCAAAAGGATCAGTCTGGATCATCCAGGATCCAGTGAAACCATTTGATCACTTTTACAAAACTTGTATTTTATGACCGTGGTATTAAGATGTATGGTTCAGCAAGTTTATAAATATACAACAGAAGTTGCTTATAACAGTATGATGACATATTCTGTCTGTCTGTTGAGTTTTGTTTCGGCTCATGGACTGAAGAGTGAAGTGCCTTAAATGAACAATAGACTGAGGCCTCGGATTTTCATTTTCTGTGCAGGTTTAGATCCTTTGACAATTGGTAATGAAGAAAAAGAGTAGGCTAATGTTGCTGTCCTGACAAAATTTCCCTCATTGTGCAATGTAGTTCTACATTGTTGCATTTAAAAATGTATGGTTCAAAATGTCCTTTGAATTTTTGACATACTCCATCTTGTATTATTTTACATGTAGACAGACGCCATTTTATTCAATCATCATTTAAGCCACACAAAATATATCAAGTGTAACCTTATCCCTGTGTTCTGTCCCTAAACATTTTCCATGTCTTGTCTTATTAGCGTGTTATTTGAGGAAAACAATGAATGGAACTCTCTAGGGAAGGAGGTTAAATACTTATGTAGATGGAATGGGTAAAATGGTTGTTTTGTAAGCAGTCATGGCAGTTTCTGATCCCTGATTTATTATTGGAACATTTTCATGAATAAAAAAACCCCCAAGATCTGAACTGCAGGACAAACATGAAATAAGTTTGCTATAACATTGGTAGCAGCTAATGAACATTTCATGTGAGGAAGTATATCAATCATAAGAACGTGTTCTTTATGTTCAGACCAAAAAGAAAAATTTAGAGTCTTGATATGATAGAAAAGTTTTGTTTTGGGTTAATTTCTGCGGTTGACTCCACTTGCCAACATGATCCGACAAAATTGTCATGCATCTTTTGTTCCTGGTCATTTAACATTTTAGCTGAGATGAGCTGTAGTCTATTTTTATATCAAATAAATTTTTGGTAATCAACTGCCATTTCCAGAAGTTTTCCTGATGAAAATTGTGAAGACAGCATGAGATGAGCTAGAGACATTTTCTGTAATTAAATGAATTTTGGACAGTTGACTGTCCTGATGAGGATTGTAAAGGCTTGATGAGATGAGTTCTAGACATTATATATAATGACATAATAGCCAAGTCTAGTCTGAAACTCTGTGTATAGGACAAGTAAATAAATTGTGTCTACCACAAAGATCAAATCCTGTCAAAGTCTCTAGAAATATTATTCCAATTTACTCATTTTATTGATTTGAATTGAAAGTCTTAAAGATGGGTTCCCATATTTTTGAAAAATGAAAATGCCAGAAAGGTCAAAAAGTCTTGTTTTGTTTATCCAGACTATTCATACATGGAGCAATTGGAAGAAGATAGGCGCTCAAAGCTTATCTGATATACTATAATTTTCAGGTAAATTAAGCTCTTGCCAATTGGAAAGGAAAGGACAGTCAAGGAATATCCAATATACAAAATAATTTCCAGAATGTTTCATTTTTCAAGGAAAAATATGATTGAAATTCTGGTAGAGTTACAAATGAATTAGTATCTTGAGTATAATAGATTAGCTAGAAATTCTATATACATAACAATTATATTTAAAATCAGTCAGAACAAGACTGTCTCAAGTGGTTCATACTCATTGATTACTGCTGGACAGATCTTGTACCTAGGATGGTCAGGGTGTCCTTGGAGGGATGATCGAAAAGTTTTGATCTTGGTTGGACATTATGAATTACTATTATAGTTTGGAATGGTTGACATTGGAAAAGTATCATTCTGTTATCAGTAATAATGTTCACAGCTCACCGTCTAAATTTGAGCCTTTTATTCCATGTGAGTCCAGCATTATCTGTGTTTAAATGTTAAAATGACGACTCATCAATATAAGATACTCTGTGATATATAGAAATAGTGAGTAAAATTCCTAGTTTGAAGTATTTTTGAATGAATTATACGATTTTCGTCATTTTTAATACTTCTGAAGAATATTTACATATATTCAAGATTAAAATCACCCACCTAAAATGGAGCACCTGCTCTTTAAAGTTTATTAACCAATAACCTGTATTAATTAAAAAAAAAATTCTTCTAACAAAGCTTTTGTGAAATAGAACCTTTACGACCACCCCTCCTAATCTTGAAGTGTCTGCTATCTGTCTCAATATACAGTTGTTATGACTTGATAGATACATTACTATATATAGACAGTATATACTTCATAATAATGAAACTAACTAAGATCTATCTCTCTTCTCTTACTTTGTGTACAGGACCAAGAATTGAAACTAACCAAGATATTTTGAACCTTACTCCATGTACAGGGCCAATATTTGTACAGTAATTTATGAAGGTTTTACATTGATTTACATGTAAGGCTGTTTAGCTCTAGCTCTATGTGTGGATACAAAAAAAGTAGGATGAAAAACTAAGATATTTAACAAACTGTTAAGCTGTATACAGAGTCAGATGTTGATCTAAATGATCAAAATGCTGTTTAGCTCTAGCTCTATATGTGGATAAGAAAAAGTAGGATGTAAAACTTCAATTTCAGTGTAATAAACTGAGGAAGATTCTGTTGAGCTCTATTTATAAAAAAAAGATGTAAAACTTTTCATTCTATTTTATTTTAATAACCTCTTATATAATTTCTTCTTCCTGAATGAATTCAATCATCAAGTTATAAAGACTTATATAACTCGATAACTATCTCCAGAGTTGATTTTCTTCACCACTGCATTAAGCGTTAAAACAATGCATAAACATGAGATTTAGGCTAAAACATTAATTACAGACCCAGCGTTTGCAAGGAGCATCGAACCATTTCTTACGGCAAACAAATTGATAGAAAAATACAAGGAAAACATTGTAATTAGTATCCTGTCTTTCAGCCATTTTGGTTTTTTAAAGTAGCTATCCTAGATAGATCTTGTGACTGTAGTATTCAATCCGAGAAGGGGGTGGGGTATGGTTACAGGGTTGGGAGTAATCTGGGACACTTCTAAAGTTTGTTTCTAGGCCATGATAAGCATTTAAAACACAAAATAACTTGTCAAGAGTAAGAGAAGCAAATAGAGTCTAATAATACAAGTCTACTTCATAATCATTCAAATTATGTAGCTTTGGTTATCTAGACATTTAAAAATCTATGAAAATAAAACTTAATTTGGTTTGGTCATATCTGGAAGGAACGTTAACTTGTCATTTACTTACCTACCTGGTTTGATGTCAAAATAAAATTCTGTTCCCATTTGTGAAATTTTGTAGGGACATTACCTTGAACTTAAAGAACATGTTGTTTAGAAACATGTAAAGCACGTTTTGTATCTGGGATATCACCTTTAAGAAAACACAACTTATGAATGAAAAACTTTCTGCAGGGTTAAAAATACGCAATTCATTATCAATAATCATGTAAAAGGATTTTTTTATTTTGTTATCTTTCAAAAAGATCTAAAATGATTTACATTAATAACAAATTTATCGTCAGATCAAAAATAATTTTGACAGTAAAATTCTTTATTCTTTAATTATCAACTAATTATTTCTACAAAAACGAAAGAATATATGGAATTAAAATTGCTTTTTTTTAGCAAAAATCATGAAATTCTTCTTAAGTTTATCACATGGAGCAAACTGACCAATCATCTATCTACACAGCAATCCTTAAAGGGACAGTTGGCCAACCTTTTGACCAATCGTACTTTAGTCTCAGCAACAGGAATTTTGGTTTCAAGCTAATCAGTAAAAGTGTTTACAGCTCTGTTGAAATTTGAGCTTTCAAATCCATCCATATTTAGAATTATCATTGTTATAAAGTTAAAATGACGACTCGTCTTCTCTTGAGACTGCCATAGTAGAAAAGACATAGAAAGTGAATTCTTAGTTCAAGATATTTGTGAAGATATGCGATTTTTCATTCATTTGTGGTACTTCTGAAAAGGGGTTGCAAAGAGGTTTTCTAAAAAAATTATGTTTATCTAGGCCATTTAATGCTTCTTTTTGCCCCATTCCAATTTTCTGTCAAATGTCTGTGGTTCCTGTAATTATAGAAATGCTCAACAGCATTCCACAAAGACTGCTAATATAATTGAAGAGCCTTTGCCATATTATGCATAGTTTAAGTGTAATTGCAAGATTCACAGACATCTATCTTTAATTGGTGCTACCTCTTTTGTACTTGTCACCATATGTACCAAGTTGGACAGCCAACTGTACAATAAACTGGTACATCCAAGGGTGGAAAACTCCAGTTTCATTTTTGTCTGATTATGCTCTACCTTTTTTTTCAGGTGTCTCCATATTTTTCATCTGAAGTACAATGTACTAAGTCTGGACGTCAACTGTACAATAAACTGGTACATCTAGCTCAGATCCATTTTGACCTGGCCTCTACCACTGTAACTGGTATACCAATGAAAGTAAGCATGCCTTTATCATTAATCCATTTGTCCCAGGATCTGATTTTAACCCTTTGAAAGCTGAGCAAAGGGTTATTAACCCTGATACAGAAATTTTTCTCCATATACAAAACTATACAATGTAAACAAAAGTTTGGAGGGTTCACCCATGGTTAACAAGATGATATAACTGAATTTCACCTATCTGTATCACTTTTAAAAAAATATAAAACTGATGCATAGTTAATCTAAATTAACTCAAAATTGGGCAAGTGATTACATATTGTTACTTTGTGGTCATAATATTAAAAAAAAAATATTAATTGTATATGGTCTGCACCTTAAATTTCCATTCTGAAAAGTGATAAGGATATCTTTAGATTAAGCTATTATCAAATTTTAGATGATGACATCCCTTAAACACATTTTTTCTGGGTAATCAGATGTGTTAAACAACTTAAGCTCTGTTTTTATATATTTACCAACCTAACAAATCTTACAGGAAATAAACCAGACTTATTCCATTGTCTGATAACGTGGTTTATTCGTAATTCCAAGAAATTCCTAGAAAAATATCACTTTATATTTTTATACCATGGTCAAAGACTGAGAAAGACGAATGGCGTCGAATGATTGAAAAAGATTAGAGATTGTTTTGTTTTGGTCAGGAACCTTATTAAGTCGTTACGAACTGTTCATGATTTTTTCGATGTTGAAGTATTTGGGAGACAATCTGTGCGTTATTAGTGGTGTTAAAAAGTGTAATGTGATGCTATGTCTAATGAATTAGTATCATGTGATGCCGGGATCACTGATCTTAGATTTCTCGCTGGTTGATTTATTAAATACTGTTAATTAATTTACTTCTTTGTAGGGCTGCAACGATTTACCGATGAATCAATGAAGCGATATTCTTTCCTTCTTATTGATGTTGGATAAAAATAATCGTGATGTATCGGCACGATTAATTCTTAGCCCACTTTAATAACAAATAACACAGAATCCTCGTCAAATTGATTTTAAATTCCCTTTCGTTAGCCAATCAGATATGTGCTTTGTTAATTTTATGAATGAAATATCAGGAATTCTGAAAACAGACAAGCCAAAAGTTTAGAATGCTTAAGAATGGTGTGATGGAAGCCATTCCAGATCATTATTAGAATTAATACCATAATCTAAGGTAGTAGCACCACCAGAAGGTGAACACACAGAATTTTGGAACTGTCTTCAGAGGAGGAATATCAGGAATTCCAAAAACAGAAAAGCCAAAAGTTTAGAATGGTTCAGAATGGTGTGATGGAAATCATTTCAGATCATTATCAAAACTAATACCAGTAATTAATGTCCACTGGAATCAACGTAGATCAAAGTGCCATTGATACTGTTTCTACATTGTGATATAGATGTCAATAATTACCCAGCATGATTTATGACATGATTATATTGGCATGATTTATGACATGTCAACCGAGCTTGTCCTCAATGATTAATTGCTGCTAATGATCATACAATCATGCTTGTTAACTTTTCTTTTTAAATATTCATTTGGATTGTAATTACATTAGATGGTCAAATTTGTTAGAAATTTACCGCCATGTCTGACAACTGACCGATTCCATTACTACAAGTAAATACCATTACACCATTGCCCTTTTGGATAATATATTACTTGCCCCTACAGATATATATTACATGTAACCACAGCAGTACAAAGAATTTGTGCTTGGTATTTCGGCCGTTTCCTATGGCCATAGAATAAGTGCTTATTTTCAATTTTGAAACTTCTACTTTAAATTTCTTCTTCTTTTGGAGGATTTCTAGTCTTTAGTGAATACACATTTGTCTGAATGTATTGTCAAGTATTGATACACGCCAATACAATACAATACGTGTATCATGGCCTGTCGTATCACCATGTATGGATCCAGCGATCTATTGTGCTGGCACTACATACAACAGTGACTTATGATTTGACAAAGTTATTTAAATCAAAAGTGAATGAAGCCTGTTCACCAAATCACTAATCCCTACAGGTTTAAATAATTCGATAGTACGTCATTGAACTATCACTGGAGTCAGAAACAATTATCATCCACCCAAAGAACTCTTCATGTGATTTAAAGCGATAGACCCAACTGTTCCCAAGGCTACCAACTTAGGCTCTTGAGGATCCTTTCTTACCAGCTGGTCCTTGGCCAAACCTCTTGGCATTGGTCATTCCCAGACTCAGAATATTGTAGTAATATTACTGATCTAAAGCGATGCATTTAAAGGAAGAAAAGAAGGAACGTCCATATTTCACTAGGATCTATCTCTACTCCCTCTCTTTGGATAAACTTTGTGACATCTTTCCCAGGTTATCTGTATCCATAAACAACTTCTTGGCATGATCTTTTCAAGATTATCTGTATCCATTTACAGCTGGTTGATGGATATCATGAGGAAAAAAAGGGAAATGTCCATATTAGACTCAGAGGACTCTTTCTACCAGCTGGTCCTTGGCCACTCCTCTAGTGAACAATCTTACTGAATAATTGCTTATCTCAATTCGCCCAACTGAATGGTTACAGGAAAATAGGATGTGAAACTCCATTACCTTTTATTACATGTTATCCATTGGACAAATTACCTGGTTATCTCCCTTTAACAAACAATTAACGTACAATTAGTTAGATTACAGACATGTTGAATTTGTCAGATGTCAATTTGCATGTGAAATAAAGGGAGATAATTTGATTATAGATCACTAAGACTGGTTAATTGAGCAAAAATTACCAGTCAGAAATGTTCACGGTTAAGTTGAACAGACAGATTTCTCTTAAACAGATTTCTCTATCTAGTGTTAAAGTTAGGTTTTGTTTATTATAATTCTCACCATTGTTACAGACCAAAATATCTGGTGGCAAATTCACCACTGCAAAAATCAGCTGTGTGGACTCACCAAAAAAGTGAGTAAATATTTCCCAACTAGCATAATCCTTGCATTATAACAAAGTAAAGATACCATTTAAACAATACCAGCTATGTGGACTCACCGATTATCCAGTGGCAGCACCAGGCTCCTCAGATTATAATAGGAGGCAAACTGACGCAATGTGGGGACAACTTTCAATGTTGAGATAAAAAATATGGCAGCTCTGTGGAAGTGCCATTGGCACATGCCTACCATGGAGAGTCTCATTTTTACAAATCAGAAACAGAAACAATGTGAAGTACCCGATAGACAATATATATCATCTATGTGAACTCTCTAAAAGCAAGCAGTGAATTGCAGAGGTTGGCACAAAACTTATGAAATTGCAATCGCAACGAATTGGTTCATTCTTAAGACAATGACTTTAAAAATTGCAGACGTGTCTTAGAGGTTAAAAAAACATAATCTCAAAGTCAATGTGTTTTAACGAGACAAGTAAACATCCTTTTAACTTCTAACCTATCTATTGAGACATCAAATTAGTCAGTGTAGATCTCAACAACGTGTTTTGTCCCAAGGAATTACCGCGACAAATTGGTGGTTACGAGAAAATGAGGGGTTAATAAAGCGAGCTAAATGGTTGGTTAAAATTACAGCCTTGAGGACATAATCAACCGACTCGAACCTTCTGTTGTCTGTGTTATACAGAAAATAAAGTTAGGACATAGACTAATTTCTTTCTGGTTGAAATAAGGTAATCCAGTCAATTTGGAGATTAAAGAGTGCACTCGACTTCAAGTTTCACACGTGGGTGGGGTTAATTAAGAACAGGCGTAGAGAAATTTTGTAATATGTTAATTTCATTGGCGTAATTTTTGTCAAAGAGAGTCTTATTTTGAACTGGGATTGTCTTAAAAAACGCTGATGTAGAAATTCCTGTGTTTTTTTTCGTTTGTTTCCCAGTATATTCTAAGATCTTAAGATCTTCTTCTTAAAATCTTGTTCAAATAAAATTTGATTCAATATTTTCATGATCTATCAGGGTTTTGGCAGCAATTTAGGATGGGGGGGCGGTAAATTTCTGAATTTTTACATGGGACAAAAAAGCATAATGATTAAGCAAACCCATGAAAACTTTAATTAAGATGGTAATTGTTTTCCAGGCATCTGATTGGTCAATAACACAATTCAGAAGTTAATTTTATTATCCAATCAGATTACTGTATTTTTTAAAATCTGGATTTTTATCTTTGTATATTTGTCAAATTTAGCGCCAGAAGATTTTTTGACTGTGTTTATATTTCTATTTTCAGGAAGAACAGAATGCCAGTTCTTCATCCAACTATGACGTGGAATTACTTCATTCTGCTAAAGCTCATAGAGAACTTATATCTGCTGCAAAATGTAAGTTGGATAACTTTTTTTACAAGGAATTTAGCTTAACGAGAATCTTTCTCGGATCGTCCATACCCAGTTACTGCTTTATCAAGTAAAGATAACTTATTCAAGGTCAACAGACTTTCACGTGCCAACCGAGATTAAAACCCACAACCATTATGACATCAATTATAGATTCCAATTCTCCATTTAACTGTGCTACATCCTGTAGATGTCTTCTGATGAAATGTTTTTATTCAAATAGTTTTTTCTCCAAGGTCTTCAATGTGTGTTTGTTACTGGTGTATTTTTTCCTTTAAAATATGTGTGTCTCATAAAAAGCACTGGCCAAGGTCACAAATAAAAAATCTATTATGTATTAATTATGTATGATTTATGTTTAAATAGTATTATTTCTTTTGCTAAAATTGCTGAAAAATGTTACATTCTCCTGAATCAATAAACTACCCAGTGATAAATTGTCTAATATAAAATCATTAGAAACAAGACTTTCAAAGACAATCAACCAAAAATTTGAAGAAGAAGAATTCTTCCTTCAGAGCTCTTTAATCAAACATTTTGACATGGCTGAATTTGGTTTACACTGATCTTGAAAAATGTGCCCGAGTCAATATTTGTGTTATTTCTCCCCTAATTAGAGAGTCTCTTTTCCATTTCCTTGAATTAGCACTAATAGATTTCTACATGAAATTTGTGCCAAGTTTTCAAGTTCCATTCGCTTCTTTCTTATTATTGTTGATTAAGCATTAATAATGCACAGAATTTCTTGTTTGTACTTTCCATTTAGGATCTAAAATCTCTCTCAAGGATTACACCCTACTAAAAGACAATAACGTTTTAAAGTGATCTTTTTGTGTTCGCAGACTTTGATGCAGGTATCTAACACAACATCTACAGGTGCTGGCACACGAGCGGTCTTGGTCTGAGACTTTTGTTTTGGATTAGAGTCTTGTCTTGAGTTTCAATAACAGGCACAGGCACACAATGCGACAAAAATATCCAGTCTGTCTATAAAACTATCAAAGAAATTATCTTGTTTAACTCAATTAACTTGTTTGATATTATAAATCTGTCAGAGACACGATAATCTTGTTGTGGAAGCACAGGCACAGAAAGATTTTACTCAAGATTCAAGTCGGAGAAAAAATCTCTGACTAAAATGACTCGTGTGCCTGCACCTTTAAGTGTTATGTTTTCATGTTTGGGGGTGGTAGGCTATAGATATATGGAGTTGAGAACTGACACCACTGCCACAGGCATCAGAATTTTTCTTGCCTTTGGAAGGATTCGAACCCCTTCTCGTCTAACAAACGCAATCCAACTCACTACTGACTTAGCTATTCCACTGCCTCCAAGGAATGGTTTACCAGTGTTCTAATCTCGATCGACTTGTGAAAGCCTAGTGAATAAGTTATCTTTGCTCAATTTTTGGATTGACCCAGCTGTTAATGGTTACGAATAATCCAGGAAAGATCATTACCAAGAGGTTTCTCAAAGAAAAAGCTGGTAGAAAGAATCCGGTTGAATCTGAGTTATGTAAAAATGGTTGTTTCTCTGTTTTCTTTCTTATTATTGCTGCAGGTATCTTACACATTCTTAGTTTATTGCACCTTCTTTTCTGAAGAGCTTTGAAAAAAACAGAATGATTTTGCCATCACAAGGAGTCAACGAAACTGTTTGTTAGTTTAACAATAATCAGTGGGTAAAGAATCAAACAAACATTTTAGGGCAAGCTTGACAAATGTCAGCCAGTATAGAGTGACAAATGAGAAGTCTGGATGTACCAAACTTGAGACAAATAGATCTAATTGTTATTTTTTTCACAATTGGTTGGTGTAATTTGGTTTTGATTCCCGACGGAATTTTTAACTGAATGATGAATCAATACTCCAAGAAGTAAATTAGTCCTTAGACAACTTGTCTACTGAAAAAAATTCCATTCAAGACAAAATTGGTAAAAGATGTTAGAGAGTGAATTTTATGAATATTGTTTTCCAACTTGTTGTAGAAGGGGGAGAGATGGATCGGCGAGAGGGGGTGGGGAGAGTGTTTGCCCAAAAATTGTCTCTTCTTAGGAAAGGATGTTCAACTTGTTCTTATGACTATGTATTCAAAGGAAAAACAAGGTTTGATTCACTTGAATGTTGATATATTGTAGGGGGACAGTTTGATGGGCGTGAGGGGGTGGGGAAAGTGTTTGCCCAAAAATGCCCCATCTTGAGAAAAGATATTAAAAATGGAAAATGTTCTTAATGTTTTCAAATTTACATCCTGAAGAAAATACATGGGGTTTTGGGGTTTTGGGGTTTTGGGGTTTTGGGGTTTTGGGGTTTTGGGGTTTTGGGTTTTGGGGTTTTGGGGTTTTGGGGTTTTGGGTTTTGGGGTTTTGGGGTTTTGGGGTTTTGGGGTTTTGGGTTTTGGGGTTTTGGGGTTTTGGGGTTTTGGGTTTTGGGTTTTGGGGTTTTGGGGTTTTGGGGTTTAAAATGTCCCATCTTGAGAAAAGATATTAAAAATGGAAAATGTTTTTAATGTTTTCAAATTTACATCCTGAAGAAAATACATGGGGTTTTGGGGTTTTGGGGTTTTGGGGTTTTGGGGTTTAAAATGTCCCACCTTGTGAAAGATTTAAAAGTACCAATTAATTTTTATTTTCTAAGTTGTTTTAATGTTCATGTATCCAGAGGAAAAAGCAAGTTTTAATTCACTTGAAAGCTGATAGTATATGGAAGTGGCAAAAACGAAGAGGGTGTGCAGAGCTTGGGAAAGTGTTTGCCCCAAAAATCTTTCATCTATTATATTAAGATCACAATGTTTAAAAATTCTGAGGACTGTCATTTTGGAGTGTCTCTTCTTCTTTACCTCTTGATTAGATACTATACTCTCTAATCATCCTCAACCATCATGTGCAGTGTTATAAATCAAAGGTTAGATGTGGAAGACTCGTATACCTTTGAAAACCCTTGATGCTGTAATACATTCTGAATTCCCAATTAATCAGTTGCCAATGTCACAGTAACCCATTTATAGCCAATGGTTTTTTTATGCATCAAACACAAGCAAGGATGAAAACGTCCTTAGAATGAAATTGGTTAATGTTCCTGCAAATTGTCTTTTATTCCTAAGGGAAGTCTGATTATGCTGGAATTCCATTCCTTTTCATTATCTTTTTAACTTGGGTGATCTAAGGCAGTTGGGAGGCTAATAAAGTTGGGTAATGCTATGCAGTGTGCACTTAGGGAAATTAACTGTTTTAGTCTATTTATTTTGATTTCCAACTCTCAAGGGACCAGCATGGCACCTCAATGAAATATCTCATTGGAAAGTTGACCTATGCATGTATCAAATCAAATATGGCAGGGGAATTTTTCAGCCGGTAGGTGTTCGATTGTCGTCTGCTAGTCAATAAGGAGCCCTATAAATCAGGCCTTTTCCAGTTCCTCCAGGACTTAGTTCTTTGCTCCGACCCATTTTTGGGTGCCTAGTTTGGGTAATTTTCACATGACAAACAACAAATTTGGCTGAACTGTTGATGTTGATACAAAAATCACGTTGGAGGGTCTTGTATAGGCCAGACAATATGGCGCTGTGGGTTCAAATCTCCTCAATGTAAGAAGAATTCTTCTGCCATGCCACACTTAAAAGAGATAATTAAAGGATTATCAGATTATTGGGTTGAAGATCAAGTTATTGTAATACCAATGATTAATAGCTTTATATTTCATAAGAGTTGTCATTAAATTTTGCATTTGCCAGACATTGAAAGCTATGTATTGGCTAACCTATACTTGATGTCCGATAGAGGATATTGACCGTCCGTCATTTGAGCTGCTCCGTCGGTCATGACTGGCAAATAGAACCAAATCAGCAGTCCTGTGCCATGGCTTCTGCTCATGAGAGTCATCCCAGTGTTGCCTTCTAACCTCTTCTAAACCTCTAGATAACCTAACAAGGAAGCAATATAATTTCCAAGCATCAGCTCCAAACCTGGCAGAATAGAAAAGAAAGTCCATAAGGATAAGCAGAACCAAACTTTGGACGAGAAAAAAAAATGTTGTAGCCACAAGACTAAGAGATAAATAATATGATAGACTATGTTAAATTAATAAGTGACATGTATGACAGTGATAGAAACCATATTGTCTTTTTATAATAACTGTAAATAGTTCTTATAAAACCAAACCATATAACCTATGTTAACCGAAAAACTTTTTATCATTCCTCCCCTTAAGCACACTTCCTTTAAATTAATGTTCCAAAGTGGTCTTGAAATATAGACATGAGAATAAGTTATATTTGGTCAACTTTAGTAGGGACGCAGGCTGGAAATAGGTCATTTGTCTGAAGATCGCCTAGTAAGATGTTTTTTTTAGGTTCTGATTTGATATTTCTTAATTTCTTATTATTATAATCTTGACTACTAAACTCTCTATTATGGACCTTGTTTTTGAAGAAGAGGTAGTTTTTAGGTCTATATTAGGTCGAATTCTAGGGGGGGTGCGGGTTTGGTTCACTGAGTCATATTTCACACTGTTGTACTGTTGTCAGCTTACAGAAACCAGATGATAACTCTTGGTTATATTTTCAGCTGGGTATGTGGAAGGTCTGGTGGTACCATCTAAAGAAGGTCTACCAACAGATACTGTCTTACTTAAATGGTGTACTCCGAAAACAAATGCTGTTGGTAAGAGTTATGCTCCTTGTATTTCTGATAAACGTTTTGTCCGTTTTAGCTTTAAGGGATTGTAAAGAGGTTTTCCAACATTTTATGTGTGTTGGTGACACTGAGAGCATTAATTTGCACCATTCCAATTTTCAATCAGACGTCTGTTGTTCTTGCAATTCTACTGAAACTAAGGCTGCTTAAAATATTTTTTAGGATAGTGGAGCCATATACAATTAGGCGTTTCTATAGTTACAGGAATCCTCAGTATACTCATGCATTTCTCTCCTCATAACGCCCAAAAATGTGCAGAAAAGTAGGATGTAAAACTCTATTCCATTTTGTTTCAGAATTGCATCATTGTAGTGGAGCTTATAGAATAACACCAGTTGATGTTAACAGTAGACCATCTTCCTGTTTAACTAATTTTCTACTTGGAGGTAAGGAACTTGTGAGGACCTAGTTGATAAACCAATTTATAGTGGTATCAGGTATTCCAGAAGCATGCCATGTCTTTCTAACAACACAAGCAACAGTGATTAATGTGGTTCAGCTCTAAAATGACACATCAGCGATTTTAGGGTACTACTAGTGCGTGGTGTAGGTCAGAAAGATTAAAAACTGAAAGGTTGTCTGTGAATTGAATTAAGCCACAGATCTGATCTCTAAGCACAATTTATGATGTCTGTCTTAAATAAAAAAAAAGGTGGCATAAATTTCTTTAATCTCAAAATGTTTCCCAATGGAATTTTTGAAAATGTTGGAAGATTTCTGGCAATAGTTTACACAATTATTTGTTATCATCAACAGACAGATCAGTTATGCTGGAACAACCACGTAAAACTGGAGGGAAGGTGATCTCCCATATTCTAGCCAGTCATGGTGGAGAGATCTTCATTCATTCCTTACCCACCTACAGATTTCTACTAGAAGATCCACCTTCTATCAGTGAAGGCTGTGGGGGGAGAGTAACAGACTATAGAATTCCTGTAAGTATTGGAATGGTACTGTAGAGTGGTTTTTTAGGGGACTCTTAAGGATAAGCAACACTTAAGGATAAGCAACACTTAAGGATAAGGATTGGATGGTTTATCCTCAAAAAAAAATTAAGGCAAAGACTATCATTTCTATTTTAAAGCTAAAACTGAAATTATCTGGCAAAATTTTATTTTCCAAAGATTATAAAAGACTTGTCATCTTCTACTTTTTTTGGTTATCATCAATGCTTTGTTTTTCAGGATTTTGGTATTTTCATGAAAGAAAATCGACTGGCGCCAGCAACATCAACTTTATTAACAGATTATACATCTGACCCCATAGATAGAGGTAAGCTTTCTATGTAAACCTTTAGATATTGTATTTATAGAAATAAAATTAAACTTCTGGTTCCTCTACAATTCAATAACAATTCACCCTTTTTCAATTATGGGCTGTTATTTTACACTTATTTTACACATATTAGGAACCGGTATTGACCTTAGGTCATTGTGACCTTACATTAGGAGCCTATATTGACCTTAGGTCATATTGGAGCCTATTTTGACTGTGGGTCATTGTGACCTCTCATTTGGAGCCTATTTTGACTGGGTCATTGTGACCTCTCATTTGGAGCCTATTTTGATCATGGGTGACGGTGATCTCATATTCAGAGCCTGTATATTTGTTATGCATTAGGATCATGTGCTCAAACACGTATCCAATATGCTATGAAAAACCAGACAAAAGCAATATGATAGACATGACATGAGTCAAACTGCAATGGGGGATCAATATTCAGTTTTATTGTCAATTGTCAATATATTTTTCAGCTTTAAATGTACTAGAAAGAAGAAGTCGTTATTTACCAATGGTTATCAGTGAATCTATTCTGTCTAGTATGATCTCAGTAAGTTTTGACTGTTTTTTGGTGACTTTTCTGGGAATCCGGTAAACTACCATATCGCTTTCGTTTCGTTTCGTTTCGTTTGATTTCTTAAATTGTATAATTCTGTTATTTCATGTATGGTTTCATTTCATATATTATTTCATATATTATTTCATTTAATTTATTATTTCATTTCATTTATTATTTCATTTCATTTATTATTTCATTTCATTTATTATTTCATTTCATTTATTATTTCATTTCATTTATTATTTCATTTCATTTATTATTTCATTTCATTTTTATGTAATTCCCTTTCATATCACATCTTATATTATTTTATATATCAAATATTACCTGGTGTTTCGAAATTCCAGCCCTCTGCTTGGTACTGTGTACATTCATTTCATCTATAATTTCATTTCATCTATAATTTCATTTCATCTATAATTTCATTTCATCTATAATTTCATTTCATGGATAAGAGGGCTCTAATTTTAAAACACCCTACATATCCTATCATATCCTATCATTTCCTATATTTATAGAGTATAGAACCACTACCAACATTAATAGTAAAAGAAACACTAACAGAAGATGATGTACTAGAATGTAAAAAAGCTGTTTTACATGTTGTTGAAATGGAAAGTAAAAATGAACCCTTAATGGCAGCTACATCAGGAACTAGAGGGAAAGGCCCTAAAAGGTTTGAAAAATATTGCTCCTGTCCCTGCACATATATTTAAGGTCCCCTTTACATGGATCACAAAATGAAGTGATTGTTGAAAAAGGCTTAGTTTAAGTGAAATTGGAGTGCCCACAGAAATCTGGAAATTGGAATGGTGCAAATCAATGCTATCAGTGTCTCCGCTACACAAAAAAAAAGTTGAGAAAACATCTTGACAATCCCTTAAACATTTTGAAGTTTTTGAAATCCTCATTGAAAATTTGTGTATTTTTTTTTTCACCAGAGATGAACAGTATCGTCAACTGTGGTCTGAATTAGAACAGATGGCCAGTCCTCATTCTGACTCTTCTACTGAACATGCTGAGATTCTACAGTGTATCTTGGACTGTAAACGACCCTCTGATGAGACTAAAGCTTCCCCTAAGAAAGAGAAAGCTGCAGTGAAAGAAGAGAAGATGGATACAAGTGACTCTGATCAACATGAACGGTATGTAAAACCAAAATTATGAGTTATTGCCCTTGTTCTTAATAATAATTCAATGTTTGATGAGTTACTGTCCTTGTATACACTCCAGAAGAAACAGTTTTTGACAAATTTGGAAGAATTGAATAATTATAACTTAAGTCTTAAGAGAAGTCCTTTTGAAACCCATTTAGTTGGAAGGAAGGAAGTTTCCTTCATTTCATCTCCTTCTTACCACATTTAGTTGTACAACTTGGTTCATTTCATCTCCTTCTTACCACATTTAGTTGTACAACTTGGTTCATGTCCTAAATAACCCCCATGCAGTTGTACAACTTCCTTAATTTTATTCCGATCTCATTTAGTGGTACAACACCTTTAATTTTCTGTCATTAATAACCTACAAAGTTTTTTATTTCATATCATTTCTTTTGTATAGTACTTAGTTGTACAACATCTTGCTTCATTTCATAATTAACCCACTTAGTTCTTATCTTTCTTACCATACTTATTTGTCCAACTTGCTCCATTTCATTTCTTCTTAGCCCATTTAGTTGTACAACTTTCTCCATTTCATTTCTTCTTAGCCATTTTAGTTGTACAACTTGCTCCATTTTATGTATTTTTTAGTTGTACTACAAACTTCCTTTCATTCTTATCTCTTAGCCCATTTAGTTGTACAACTTTCTCCATTTCATTTATTCTTAGCCCTTTTAGTTGTACAACTTTCTCCATTTCATTTCTTCTTAGCTCTTTTAGTTGTACAACTTGCTCCATTTTATGTATTTTTTAGTCGTACAACAACATTCCTCTCATTCTTATCTCTTAGCCATCTCAAGTTGTACAACTTTTTTCATTTCATTTTGTTTTACTGATTCATGTATCTGTTGATACAGATTTCAAGATAGACAAGAAGAGTTAAAGGGAGAGAAATCTGATTCAGTACCAACTAAGAAATTCAAAGGTGATGAAACTTTCATGAGACCTGGAGGTATGTTGTAGTTTCTTTTTAATTTGAGATAATTTATGGAGAAAAAGATTTAAAATAAAAATTGGGTTATAATGGTACCAGAACTTTGGAAATACGTCACCTGGAAAGGTCTTACTGTGAAGTCAATAATCATAATTCATGTCAATCTGAAATTTATTGGCTTCAGGGGGCCTCTGGCAGCACCCAAACCACCAGTTTCAAGGGGTTATGGTCCTTTGGGTCTCGCTTTGGAGAGACACCTCCCATTTTTGACCCCTGCCCCCAAGGGTGTTATTTTCTAGATAAGCACCTGACATGGCAATGACTTTTCTACTGCGATTAAGGTGGCAATGGTCCCCCTGAACTTGAGGCTGACCTGGCTTTGACCATTTCATTTCATTTTCTTGTTCAGGTCAAAGTTTACTAACTATGTGGAACAACAGAATAAAGACCATCCATTATAAACGTCATGCTGAATTCGCTGGTCGAGAGGAAAATGAAGGCAAGGTGGCTGAGTTATATATAGATCTTGGACTAGGTGATAACAAAAGGTTAGCTTAGTTTATTATTTCCTTGGGATTCATTATTTATTTGTTTAAAGGTATACTACCTCTAGGATGACCAACAAATTTAAATCTTGGCCATTATTCATCAGTTGGACTTACTGGTTGTTATAACTTTACAACACAATCCCTTTACTATCTGATAAATTCATACAAGAACAAGTCATGATCTATAAAAGAAGAGGTGATTATTCAATAATTGCAATGTTTTATGGATGTATGAGAGTATACAGGGATTCTGTTGTATAGTTATAACACCAGGTATATCAACTGATGGATATATACTCTTATTGACCAAGTATGAAACCTTAGATTTTATGTCCATTCTAAGAAGAAGTTCAATTTAAAAAAAACTGTCAAAGTCACCCTGTTTTACTTTGTAAAATCGTCAAAACCCAGAAACAAAATGTCAATTCAGGAAGCAAAATTCGTGCATGTCTGATGACAATAAAAGACATGTAAGCCATTCCAAACAAAATGGACTAAGTGGATATTGGACATTTGAGAATTTGATGAGATAATTGAAGAGACTGAAATTCATCCCTTAATTGTATTTTGAAATTATGAAAATTACTAGAAATTTTATCCTTAAAGTTGCGTTGCCATGGTAATACACCTTAAAGGAAAATAGTCGAGAATTTCAGCATAAAACCAGCTAAAACATTTTATTGTGTCAAAAATCAAGCTTTTCCCCATTATAACAAAATCATCATTCAGTCTGAGTTGAATTGAGGGTAAGGGGGAGGGTTCGGGCTATTGGTGTTTGGGGGAGGGGATTAAAAAAGGCTTTTCGTTTAGCTGTATCCTTTTATCCCCTATTATTATGATTTCTTTTCCAGGGAGGTTACTCCACCTGCTACTAACCAACAGAATATAAAAAGACCACCATTAATACCTGGAAAATAAAGACTATTTGAATATTTTCGTACCAAAAAGGGATCAGGGGCCAACTTATGATTAAAACTTAATTTGCGCCAATAGTATTGCAGAAAAGTAGGTCATAACACTCAATTCCATTTCATGTTATTATAATAACTGCATATGTTCAATAATGCATTAGAATTTGGTTATCAAAGGCCATCAAAGTTTAATCGATGGGCATCCACAATGTAATTGTTTTTTGTCAAACCAGTTGACACAGTAACACACCCAATGGGACAAAAAGGGGAGGCCCCGTGTGCTACGTTCGTTGTAGTTTTAAATGGTGCTACAGACTGTGCACGTTAAAGATCCCTTGACAGTTGGAAAAAGATCAGGCTAATGCTGCTGTCCAGGCTTTAATATCCCTCATTGCAACCTGTATGGTGATGCCCTTCTTCATTAACTTATAAGTAGGACGTAAAACTCCATTCATTTCATTTTCATGTATTGTATTTCATTTATCAGAGAGAAATCATGTTAATATCTTGTCATGCTTATGGAATTGCCAATTTAGGTTTGTTAGTTGGCATTAGGTGGTCGAGACGAGCCCGAATACTCGGATCAGGATACTGCAAAAGCATGTTGATAATGATCATACC